GGGGGGGGGGGGGGGGGGGGGGGAGAGAAACATCGATGTGAGAAAAACATACGGGTTGGTTGCCTCCTGCATGCACCTCGACCGGGGCTGGGGATCAGGCCTGCAATTGAGGTATGTGTCCTTGGCTGGAATACAACCCAGTACCCTTCAGTCTGCTGGCCGAAGCTCTAACCATTGAGCAAAACTGGGTGGGGCCAAGAACATACATTCTTAATACACCATCCTCACCCCAGATAACTAGTTCAGGTGGGCCTCTCACTTTACTTGGAAAAACCCTGCCGTTAGATATTTAACCCACACCTCTCAGATAAGGTCAGTTCTGCCAACTTAGGCACCTACAGGTGTCAGCATTGTTTTAGATCTTGGGAATACAAAATTGAGTATCCCTTAGTGTGATGGTGAAAATGAGTACTTTAACAGTCATTGCTAATTAGTGTAATGGCAAAGTTCCTCATTGATCTTCCTCACCCCGTTAATTGATGTGGGAAATGGGGAATCAGATGCTTAAAGGTAATTAAGTAAAAAGATTGTTGGAGGCCCTTCCAGTGTCTTTATCTTCTACAAATAACTCTCAAGAGTCTTTAAAGCGCAACTTTAGGCCCGGTGAGGTCTTGAAAAGGGTTCCTTTTAAGTAGAAACTGAGGGAAACTTAGGCAAAGGACACTGAGCAAATTCCTCTGAAAGCCCCAACTCATGAGGCTATGGAAATGAATAATGGGTCTTAAAACTGGGACCAGGTGGCTACTTGCTCAGACTGGGGAAAGTCGCTTGATTATAAGGAAATCTTGACTTCAGGATTCTAATTCCATCTCTTCTAAGACTTGAGGTCAGTCACTCTGCTCTCTGGGCCATTTAAATTTTCCAGAGCCCCTTTCTGCTAATAAAAATGTCCTTTGGTGAGCAAGGACAGTCTTCACAATGCTGCTTCTATAATTCCAGCTCCCCTCATCCCCTGAAAATGTACGCCTGCACCAAGATTGTCGCCACCCCCTCCTTGGTGAGTACCTGCCTTTTCTAGGAGAGTTTTTAAGGAGGGCATCTTGTCTCTTGCAACACCTTCTTCTTCACAGCTGGGCTGGGGGAAGATCCTCTGCTATGCTAGCCTGACAGGAGAGAGTAAATATTTACCTGCCCCATATCCTTTGGAGGCCAGTTAATTCTTCTTATCCAACAATCTTAGAAGAGGATAAATGAGGATCTAGACTAAGATCAGGTTATTTCTACCCTAAAACTTTCTGTAAACTGGAACCCAGCCAGAAAAGGTAAACATGAAATAGATTGCCTAACTTGGATTGAATATTCACTGTGTACAGTATTTTGTCCTGAGTGTCGGAGAGCCATAGCTAAGAGTCCCCTCTGGGAGCTTAAATTTAGGCGGGAAGCTAACACATATAAATACACATTGGAAAAATCTTTGACTCAGAAGCACCAGCATAGAAGAAATTACAAATTATTAAATGGTGGAAGCAATTGGTTCATCCATCTGTAGTGAAAAAAGAGTGATGCTATTGGTGGGTACCATTTATTGAACACTTAATAGGCCTGGCACTGAGTTTACCAGTTTGTATATACAATATTATTTACTCTGAAGTCAACCCTGAGATAGATTATTCCCATTTGAAGACGAGAAAACAGGCCTAGGAAGAGTTAAGTGACTTTTTGTAAGGTCACACAGCTGATTAAAGAGCTAAGATGAATCTAGATCTGTCTGATTAAAGCCCTGGCTGTTAACCACCATGTTGTCTGCCTTGGAGATACTGGCTTGAGGTTTTTCAGAAAAGGCTACCAGGAGGTCGAGAACTTAGAGCGTAGAACTTTGTGCCTGTGTTCTGAAGGATGTGTTTAGGGAAAGATACTCCAGTCATTGGCTTCCTTCTTATGGGCTAGCCAATACCAACATAACTCTCTTATTGAGTGAAGCAAATGCTTCTGAGGCTTATATTTTTTCCCATTCCCAAGGCCTGTGAAAGGGTACAGTGAGGGTAGCCCCCCAAAAAGTAGACTTCCTTCCCTTAAAGTAAAGGAGAAGCCTAGGAAGCAAGAGAGAAATGGTGAGGTTCTTTTTTTTTTTTTTTAATCTTTATTGATTTCAGAGAGAGGAAGGGAGAGAGATAGAAACATCAATACATCAATGATGAGGGAGTCATTGATCGGCTGCCCACTGCACACCCCTGACTGGGGATCGAGCCCGCAAACCGGGCATGTGCCCTCACCGGGAATTGAACCGTGCTCTCCTGGATCCTAGGTCGATGCTCAACCACTGAGCCATGCCTAGCCAGGCCAAATGGTGAGGTTCTTGAATCTAGAATTTGCTAAAAGTAAAAGCATGATCCAAGATTCTGACTTAAGTTTGGGAGAATAAAAGGGTCATTGAATAACAACTTAGGATGATCTGAAACTCCTCTCCACAGCTTCCTTTGACTTTCTTGCTCTTGTGTCATTCCTGCTAGGTCAGGAGCACCTCTCAGCTGAGCCGGTCACTGTCTACAGTAGTGCTGAAACGACCAGATACACTGACAGATGAGGTACCTTATAGGTGGAATTGGCCTTGTGGTTTGGGAGTGAGGGGTGGGAAGGGTTTACCTAGAAGAACCAGTAGGGGGAGTGCTAGGGGCAGTCATCACAGGAAAATTAGTAAAGGATCAAGGCCATTGGCTTTAGGGGAGACGCAGAACAGTTGAAACAGCTGATAACATATATGCTCTAGTGTTCCAGCTCTGGCACTGGTAGCACATGCCCATGTGTGCTGTTGATGACTGCCATTACTTGGCCTAATTTACTGACCAGTTGGGAACATTTAGTCCCAGAAAGATGATCTCTTCGGGGCACCAAGCACATGCTAGGGTTTTGGTCTTAAGAGAGCATACTTGAATTTTAAAGGTATTTGAAGTTTACCTCTTACATTAAAAAGTTCTTCTTGGCAGCATTTTAGGAAGTTTTCCAGAAAGTAAAAAGATTTTCTGTTTGGGGGAAAAAACATGGGATTTGACAGCATAGAGCATTTAAATGTTACAGAAGTTTACAAAGCTAAGAACGGTTTCCTAAAAATTTTACCTCCTATATGCCTCCTCTTTACAGAGCCTCAGCAGCTTGGCAGCCCCACGTCCCCTAACGTTGCTTATTTCTGGCCGCAGCTTCCATACCAGCACCATTTCAAGGGACATCGACACAGCAGCCAAGTTCATTGGGGCTGGGGCTGCCACAGTAGGGGTGGCAGGCTCTGGGGCTGGAATTGGGACTGTGTTTGGGAGCCTCATCATTGGTTATGCCAGGTAAGATGGGCCCTCCATTGGCTCTCTGATAACACTTTCCAAGGGTTTGGACAGAAATATTTGGGGATCTAGAGCTACACTATCCTATACAGTAGCCACTAGCCACATATGGCTATTTGAATTTAAATTTAATTAATTAAAAGTACACCAAGTTTAAGTTTTTGGTTTCTCAGTCACACTTGGCTGTATTTCAAGTACTCAGTAGCCACGTGTGACTAGTGGCTACTGTACTAGACAGTGCAAATATACATTATTAAACAGCTTTGGTTTATAGCAGGAGTAGGCAAACTAAGGCGAGTGGACGGGCCATAACCCGATTTTTATAGCTGAGCTGAGAATGGGTTTTAGTTTTTTTAAAGGGTCATGAAAAAGACAACAGAGACCATATGTGACCTGCAAAGCCTAAAATATTTACTATCTGGCCCTTTACAGAAAAAGTTTGCTACCTCTGGTCTAGGGCCCCTCTAGAGTCAGTAGGGTGGTTTCACTGCTGTTTTTCCCTATCCCTGGGAATCCTCCTCTGTCACTCCTGGAAAAACTGCCTCCACAGTCAGCCCCACTGCTCCCTGACATCTGGTGCTACTTGGTCTCCACCAACTCTGGGCAACTCACTGTTAAAACTAAATTCACTAGAGACCCTCAAGTTCTCTTAATGTCTTTGGAAAAATAAGTTTATTTTTTAGGATTTGTGTGAAACAAGAATCCTAACTGCTTCTGTGTCCAAAATTCTGTTAAAAGCTGGTGTTGCTCTGCCTTATCTATGGAGGCTTCCAGAGGTGACAGAGTAAGGCAAATAGAAATTATATATTGACTTTCAGAGTTGGGAGGGTTTTTTTATCCTCACCCAAGGATATTTTTTCTATTGCTTTTTAGAGAGAGTGGAAGGGAGAGAGAAACATCAATGCAAGAGAGACATATAGATTGGTTGCCTCCTGCACGTGCCCAAGCCTGCAACTGAGGTACGTGCCACTTGGTCAGAATCGAACCCGGGACCCCTTAGTCTTTAGGCCAACGCTCTAACCACTGAGCCAGATTGGCTAGGGCCAGAGTTGGGATTTTTTTTATCCCATTTTAATTCATATCAGCTAAACCTTATAGACCACTTGTAGCTTTTTAAAGTCTAAAATCTTTTGACTATTTTGAAATGAGAGAAGGTAGTATTTCCCTCTGACTCCCTTGTCCTCTAGAACAGTGTTTTTCTACTTGTGGTCTTAAAGCCCTAGGGTTCTGAAGGTACACCCTCAAGTTGGTCTTAGAAGGATGAAGGGGAGCCCGGCAGGCTTGGCTCAGTGGTTGAGCTTTGACCTATGAACCAGGAGGTCGTGGTTCTATTCCCAGTCAGGGCACATACCTGGGTTGTGGGCTTGATCCCCAGCGGGGTGTGTGCAGGAGGCAGCCGATCAATGACCCTCTCATCATTGATGTTTCTCTCTCCCTCTCCCCTCCTCTCTCTGAAATCAATAAAAACATAGTTTAAAAAAAATTTTTTTTTAAAAAGAATGAAGGGGAGACCAAACTTTTACAATCCCCCACTTATTTTACCATTGCATTTTGGCCTTTATATGTTTCGTATTGGGGGGTTCTGCTGCTTAAAGTTTGAAAACACTGTGATAGGCCCTCCTACTCCAGATACCTTTTCCATCCTGACTGGGCTCTGGATAGGTAAGCATCTAGGCCCAGAGGTATTAAGTTATGACAGTGGTATGGGTCACCCATTAGAGGTGATAACGTTTTGTGCCTGGGCCATGTTATACAATTTTGGATTGTCCACACCCTTCATTTAGTCTCTGTAGAGTCCTGATGTGTTGGAGCAAGAATTTGGGCATGATAGTGTCACCCTGAGAGACTTGTTACTTAAGATGAGCTTGAGGGGATGAATTCTCTCTGAGCCCACCTTTGATGTTTGTTCTTTGTGTGGACTAGAAATTCAGTCTTTTTTCTTCCCCTTCTCCCAGGAACCCTTCTCTGAAGCAACAGCTCTTCTCCTACGCCATTCTGGGCTTTGCCCTCTCAGAGGCCATGGGGCTCTTTTGCCTGATGGTGGCCTTTCTCATCCTCTTCGCCATGTGAAGGAGCTGTCTCCACCTCCTGTAGTTCTTTCTCCCGTGTCTTGTCTGCCCTGTATGTTCCTTTTCCTATACCTCCCCAGGCAGCCTGGGGAAAGTGGTTGGCTCAGGGTTTGACAGAGGGAAGACAAATAAATACTATATTAATAAGATGTTTCTTGANGTTGGCTCAGGGTTTGACAGAGGGAAGACAAATAAATACTGTATTAATAAGATGTTTCTTGTNGGTTGGCTCAGGGTTTGACAGAGGGAAGACAAATAAATACTATATTAATAAGATGTTTCTTGTGTCTCCTGTGTATATTTCTTTTCCACAGTTGGCTGAGTGCCTTTGGTGAGAGTATAAGGCCTGAAGGGTGGTGATGATTCTAAAGTCAACATGGGTCTGGCCTCACTTGTTCATTCTGTGTCAGGAAAGCTTTATTCAAATTACGTCTCCTTTTTAATAATTTTCACCTGCCATGGTCTGTTACCTTAAATGATTAGGTCAGTGGCAACTTACAGTGCTGGCTTAAAATTATGACTAACGGGCTGTTTCCACTGTAGCTATCCTGGCTCAGGCCCTCATTGCTACCCACCTGGTCTGTTGTAGCAACCTCTGAACTAGCCTTCTGTCTGTAGTCTCTTCCCTTTAGCATTTACTTCTACCCACCACTGCCAGGTTAATCCTCCTTAAGCATAGGACTGGTTTTGCCGTTTACCAATTCAAAAACAGTCTGACCTCAACTTTCTCAGCTTTATGTTTTATTATTCCCATAACACTCTACCAAAAGTGGACTATTTGTCATTTTCCAAATATTTTCCCTGTGTCCCTGCCCTCAGATCTTCAGGCCTTGCCCTTTGTCTGGCCATCCCTGCCCTCTTTCTCTGAATCTTTGCTCACTTTTCTCTTTTTCAGACTCTCCCTGTTATCCTGAAAGGCATAGCTTAAATGCTACCTCTTTCTCCATAAACTCTTACCTGGTTTCCATTTGCCATCAGTCAAATGAGCATTAACTCCTATAAAGGACTATAGAACACACATCCTTTATAATGCTTATATGGTCTACAATAAATTACAGGTTTGTATATGCCTTATCTTCCATATTAGATTGTCAGTTTCTTGAGGCAGGAGCTAGGTCATATTCATCTTTGTATTTCTAAAAGTATCTAGCATGATGCATCTTGGCAATATCTTAGTCACATTTTTTATATTTAATTGTCTAAACCAGCCACCTCACTTCATAAGTGAAACAGGCTTTGAGGGGTCAAAGGACTCCCTCAGAAACATTCCCTAGCATAGCTAGTGAACAAGGTTCATGTCTTATAGCCCAGAGTGTAAGACTGCCATATTGTTGGTCTTGTGGGACTCTCCCCAAACCTAGTGTTGCTGGTGACTGTTACTTTCCCAAGCAGAAAGCAAAATAAGCAAACAAATATTTTCCCTTAAAAATGCCTCAGTAAGGATTTTGGACAGTGGGGTTAGTATCAAGTTTGATAAAGAATTACTTGTAGCCCGGCCGGGCGTGGCTCAGCGGTTGAGCATCGACCTAGGATTCAGGAGATCAGGGTTTGATTCCTGGTCAGGGCATATGCCCANCTGTAGTCTCTTCCCTTTAGCATTTACTTCTACCCACCACTGCCAGGTTAATCCTCCTTAAGCATAGGACTGGTTTTGCCGTTTACCAATTCAAAAACAGTCTGACCTCAACTTTCTCAGCTTTATGTTTTATTATTCCCATAACACTCTACCAAAAGTGGACTATTTGTCATTTTCCAAATATTTTCCCTGTGTCCCTGCCCTCAGATCTTCAGGCCTTGCCCTTTGTCTGGCCATCCCTGCCCTCTTTCTCTGAATCTTTGCTCACTTTTCTCTTTTTCAGACTCTCCCTGTTATCCTGAAAGGCATAGCTTAAATGCTACCTCTTTCTCCATAAACTCTTACCTGGTTTCCATTTGCCATCAGTCAAATGAGCATTAACTCCTATAAAGGACTATAGAACACACATCCTTTATAATGCTTATATGGTCTACAATAAATTACAGGTTTGTATATGCCTTATCTTCCATATTAGATTGTCAGTTTCTTGAGGCAGGAGCTAGGTCATATTCATCTTTGTATTTCTAAAAGTATCTAGCATGATGCATCTTGGCAATATCTTAGTCACATTTTTTATATTTAATTGTCTAAACCAGCCACCTCACTTCATAAGTGAAACAGGCTTTGAGGGGTCAAAGGACTCCCTCAGAAACATTCCCTAGCATAGCTAGTGAACAAGGTTCATGTCTTATAGCCCAGAGTGTAAGACTGCCATATTGTTGGTCTTGTGGGACTCTCCCCAAACCTAGTGTTGCTGGTGACTGTTACTTTCCCAAGCAGAAAGCAAAATAAGCAAACAAATATTTTCCCTTAAAAATGCCTCAGTAAGGATTTTGGACAGTGGGGTTAGTATCAAGTTTGATAAAGAATTACTTGTAGCCCGGCCGGGCGTGGCTCAGCGGTTGAGCATCGACCTAGGATTCAGGAGATCAGGGTTTGATTCCTGGTCAGGGCATATGCCCAGGTTGCGGGCTAGGCAGACAATCAATGACTCTCTCATCATTGATGTTTCTATCTCTCTCTCTCCCCCTCCTTTCCTCTGTCTGAAATCAATAAAGATATGTTTAAATAAAATAAAAAAAGAATTACTTATATTTTCTAAGGCTAGGGGGTCAACTTTAAATAAGCCTTATATTACATCTGCTTGAAATAACTGAGTAAATAAAGTCCTTTCAGAAATGATAATGTATATGACTACAATGTATTTTCTCTTGAAAATAAAATTAAAGCCCAGGGCAGAGACTTGACCCCAGGGAAGACAGATGCTCAGGAAACAGGTCACCCCAAATAATTTGCCTTTGCCCTTTTGCGATTGTGAGTTGATAAGAATCACATCTACAGTTGGCTTTCAAATTGCTATACTATCCCCAAATAATTATTCTGGGCTGTGGGGCTCAAAGTGGACCTCACAAAAACTCCAGCCAAGGGTATGTAGAAGGTATCTACATATTTGGAGATGAGGAATGGCGCTCCTTTTGTCTTGGTCACCCAAGTTTGAACCTCTAGTAGGAGCCTTCATTGCCTGTTCCCTTCCGGAGTCATCAGATCAGAATAATCTGTTTTCTTTCCTTGACCCTTTCTTTGGGATTGAATCTAGCTAACCCCTTAGGTGCTTGGAGAGAGCACAGCTTCGGCCCACGTGTGTGTGTTCTCTCTGAGATGGATCATGAGATGGTGCAGTAAGAAGCTTGGAAGCAAATTTCTTCAAGAGGAGTCAAGGCAACCTGGATCCTCTTTCAGGCCCCAACATATATGGCAACTCAAGTTACCAACAATTTGGAGTAGAGGAGTGCTATGTTTTAGTAGAGAGGGTCCAAGAGCAAATTTGCTGAAGATTTTTCCCATTTTGATAACATTACGGAGTGAAAACTTTCTACCTGTCCTTTATAGTTAGAGCTCATGATTTGAAATCAGGAAATATTAATTCTAATCCCTCTTATACCACTGTCCACTGTGACATTGGGAAAATCACTAACCAATAACTTTTTCAAGGACATCAGTTTCTCCCAATATATAATAGGGATGATAATTCTCATTCCAGGAATTATTTGTGTGAAACAGTTACCTTGAGTATTTGGAAAAGATGGTTCCATCAAAGTTTAATGTATATTTATTATCATTTGCTTTCTCATTTTTCATGGAGTTCAGAGCATATTATGGGCTTTTTCTAGATAGCTTATACCTATTACTGTTATCATAGAAAAGGGAATTGACCATCCAAAATTTAAAGTCTGGCTGTAAAGCATCTGGAGAGAGAGTGCTGGGGTTCTGAAGGCAGCAAGGCTTACTTCCCTCTTACTCCTCATTTCAAGAATCAGTTGTGTTTCTTCAATACCAGGGGAGGAGTGTCCTTAGGTTTGTGCCATCCTAATCAGAAATCATCTAAATGCTGAACAGCAGCAATGAGGAACCCTGTTCCAGCCTCCCTTTCAGGATGGATTTATTTATTTGAAGCCTTCTCAGATCATCAGGATGAGAGAACTGTTAAAACAACTATTGATTTAGCTTAAGTTGGTGTCCAGGAACCTAGAGTCTGCTCTACGTTCTTAACTCCAAGAGAAATGAGATGGAGTATTTGAGTTGAATTCTGAAATGGAAAAAGAAAGAGGAGTAGCATCATACTGGTGAGTACAGAATATTGTCTTAGTCCTCCAAGTTTTGAGCAATGAAACTTTGTCTTTATTGAGCCATATCTAAAGATACCATGCATTTTCCAACATGTATTCTCAGGACACACTATGGGACACTTGATGTTCTAACCATTTGATGAGGAAAAACTAAAACATGGGAAGATTTTTTAGTCCCCAGGCATTCCTTAAAATGTCTTTATTTTTGAGCATTTATCTCAAGGCATTGTGAGTACTAGTACATTGTGATCAAAGCAGTCACTTTAGAAATGGCAGAGGACATGATGGATAGAATACCAGGGATAAGGTCAGGACTCTCATCTCAAATGCTTGGCTTCTCTTAGTAGTGTAAGTGGTTAGTTAGAGATAGTTTATTCCCACATTCTCCTCTCCCCACCCCCCACACTCCAAAAGAGATCTCACCTTTCAAATAAGCGCTATGGTAGGCATTATTTTTTAAATGACCACCTAAAGTGTCCTGCCCTAATCCCCAGAACCTGTGCATTGATTGGATTTTACGCTTATGGTTATGTTACATTGCAAGGCACAGTTGACTTAAGAGGAAGATTGTCTCTGTGGGCCTGTTCTAATCACATGAGCTCTTAAAAGCAAAGAGCTTTCTCGGGTGGCAGGAGAAATCAGAGAGATGTGAAGGAAGGATTCAGTGTGCCATTTCTGTCTTTAAAGATGGAAGAACCATATGCGAGGACCAGGAATTGGCCTCTAAGAGCTGAAATTGACCCCTAACCAATAGGCAGCAAGTAAATGAGGACCTCAGTCCTATAATTTTAAGAAACTGAATTCTGCCAACTGTCTGAATGAACTTGGAAATGGATTCTTTTTCAGAACCTCTAGATAAGAACCTAGTACAGTCAACACCTTGACTTTGGCTTTGTGAGACTCTAAGCAGAGAACCCAGTTAAACCTGCCTGGATGGATGTGTTTTACTA